CTCTCTCTCCCCATCTCTACTCTCTCTCTCTGGAACCGCAGTAGACAAAAGGCGTTGCTATAGCAACACGCCATGTTTACGCTGCATTTTCTATGAGGTAAATATTACCCGCTGGCGGATATGGGTATAAATGGCATTTTTTTTGGCGATTTTTTCAATCTGACTTCATATTGACAATTGTTAACAACAGAGGGTGCTACATAACACACTTTCAGGAAAAGTCACGGACTGGGAGACTTTAATATGTTATTGAAAAAAAGTTACATACAATCAAAAAACAGCTGCGGGTAAAATGTACCCGTTGGCGGTTCTAGTGTTAAAAAGATCCAGGCTGCTTTCTGTAAAAGGGATTTCGTATTCTTAGATTAAGAATTCAATCGATATCTTCTTTCAATTATTTATTTTTAAATATCAGGACTTGACGTTATAACTGTCGCGGAGACACGGTTTGCAAAGAGCTCTGTTGTGTTTTGACACTGAAATGACAAAACGTTTTTGCTGACAGGGCAATATGTCCCTGTGTGAATTCTCAACAGAAGGATCTAAAGAATTGTATTTGTATTTTTCAGTTAAAGAAGTATAAATTAAGAAAGATGGGACTATATGAAGCAGAATGTGAATAAGTCTGTACTCTGGTCCTTCATGTTTTTGATGTCTTTGATGTGATGTCTCTTCTGTATTTGCGGGTCCCATTGTTATTGTTGTTATTGTTATTATTATCATCATGCGTCGCTTTCCACCTTCTTCTCCAGTAGGACTCAGATGAGGGTGTTGCACTTTTATTTTCCTTATACATGTGATGTTTTGGTGTTTTGTTTCTTTCCGTTAACCGTCACGTGGGAAATAAGTATTTTTTTGTTGTGTTTCTCTTAGTATCCTAAGATACACTTATCTGTGAAAGAGGGCAGGTCACATAAGATTGTATTCTTCTCCCTGCTCCTTTTCGCTCAATGGTGTTTTGGTAGAGTCACGTTTTGTGGCAATTATTGTACATTTGGTGTTGCGTACCATGAGCGGGACAAATAAAAATGGAATGGAATATACAAGGACTTAATGGGGTCAATGTAAAACAAAATAATATATATGAATGATTAAAGATCTGAGGGAGTAATGTTCCAAGAAAAAACTCAACATTCCTGAAATTCAAATTGAGGATTTCTTTGGGAATGAAGTAGTCAGAAAAATCTAAATCCCTTATTCTCAGAGAATCATACATTAGCTTACGAGTCCAGATGCTTACGATAGCATGCAGACACCTAATGAACACTCTTTAACCACCAGGCAGGGGCTAATTGAGCTGAACCACACTACTTTGCTTTGGAGGGAGAGTTAAGGTGAAACACATCGATGGAGGTGTCCTTACTGATTTTCAAAGCTTTACATCACCTTGCCCCAACATATTTAAGTGACTGTCTCTCATTTTATCAACCAGCAAGGACACTTATGCCCCGGCCACACGAGGACGAAAACGGTCGTTTGCGTTACTGTTTAGTGTCATATAGACCGTTCGGCCACACGAGGACGACCGAATACGGCACTAAACGACTGCGTAAACGATAACGGGTCCCAAGGTGGAAAGAACAGCATACGCAACGCTCTGGGGGGTCCAACGGCTCCGTGTGTACGCCCTATACGATCATTTTCTGATAATGATGAGGCAATAGCCCCGCCTCTCCCCACCTCTGCTGCTCACCCCCGCGTCAAAGTAAACTGCACACTGAATTCAGATTATTTATCTTTCTCTCGATATGGACATAAACGCGAGTGAAGTCTAATCTGACAGGACGGAGACACCTCTCAAACTACCTAGTTATAAATATGTTTATTTTTACTGTCGGCCGGGTCACTCGTTACTGGATCAGCTGCTGCAGGAGACAGACACTGACGCTGTCCGAAGAGAGGGAGGAAAAGAGAGGCTCCGTGTATTTTATTATTATATTATATAGAGTCGTTATTCATTTGTTTTAAAGCTCAATAAATAACAAAGAAGACCTTTGACCGGCACTTTTATAATTTTGTCGGAAGATTTAAACTTTAATACACGTTGACTGGCGAAAAACTCTGCCGGTTCCCCTCGGCCCCCACCGCGGAGAATAAACAGAAGGGCAACCATGACAACCATGCTTCTTCGCTGCTTTTGTGGAGGAAGTTACAGCGCCACGTACAGGCTCCTGCATGTACTGCAGCTTCTCCAGCGGTTGGAGCTAAACGGAGCGGTCTCGTGTGGGCAGACACTATCCGGATAACTATTGCGTGTAGACGGAAGCTTGTTTGTGATTGCGTTTGCGTTAATCCTATGCGTTTAGCCGTTTTCGTCCTCGTGTGGCCGGGGCCTTAGATCCTCCAATGTTTCACTTTTAAAAGTACCTAGAGTGCATTCAAACTGGAGAGGCTGCTTTCTGTTTCTATATCGCCCAAAACCATTTGATCTTAGAAGCTCAATTAGAATTTAAAAGTAAATTAAAGACATGTCTTTTTAAATTCGGCTCATAATTGTTAGTCGTCTCACTGTTCATATTTTATTGTTCCTCATTTGTTATTGTCGTTATTGTTGTCATACTCTGTAAAGCACTTTGGGCTGCGTCAAGCATGAGAGCTGCTATATAAATAAAGTGTATTATTATGATGATGTACCCACCCCTCTGTGCAGAGCCGTGCTGCCCCTCTTGTCCTTGGCGTCGGGCAGAGCTCCTTTCTCCAACAGGAAGTGGACGCAGTCAGTGTGACCCCCCAGGACGGCGAGCATCAGAGGGGTCCTGAGGGGACAGAAGAGACCATTAGGACGGGTTTTAGGTGTGTAGGACATCGGTAAAATCAGCTCAATGAAGTCATGCTTTTCAAAAAGAAATAACTCACTGGCCAAATTTGTCCGCCACGTTGGTGAGGTCCCCCTCCTCCCCGTAATCGATCATCATCCGCAGGCAGTCTGAGTGGCCGTTAGAAGCTGGTGTGGAACAAAGCAAAGAGAATTAAAATGTATAAATCGACTTTTACAGTGAATTAGAACAACTACTAACAGTTATGTTCATCACTGTCTCCGCTGCCGGTGAATTTCCCTAAAGTTGAAGGTGATGTCTTTAAAATGTTCTGTCAAAGATATTCTCTTTAATGTGATATAAAACCGAGGAAAGCCGGATCTCCATATCTGAGAGGCCGTTAGCAGCATTTGAAGAATATGAAAAAAAAATGTATGGGTGAAACCGTCATTTTGACGAACAGGATCGTAACATTTCCGTAAAAATCCATTATAACCCGTCGGCCTGTACACAACTCTACCGGGGGGGGGACGGGGACGCACACTCACTCGTGAACTGTTAGCGCCGTGTTATGCATGCCCACTGCACCTCGCGGGAGCGCAGCGTAAAGCAAGTACTCAGACATTTCAATGATCTGTTCGGCAGAGTTAGGTTTGGAAACTATATCGTTTCCTTTTGGGAGGGCATGCATGATAACACGGCATAACCCCGGGGCCCCGCTGCGGGGAAGCTTTGGTGCTGTTCTGAGTTTGTTCTAATCTGTCAAAATGACGGACTGCTTTCAGATTTTTCCGTCATTGTTAAAAAAAAAAAAACGTCATAGACGGAAAATATTCGGTTAACGCGACCTCTGGGGTGAATCAATTAACAAAAATAGTTGTAGATAATATTTCTGTCAACTGTTTTAGCCGACTTATTGTATCAGTTCTAGAAACATTTCAAAGAACTACATAAAAAATGCCAGAAAATAGTCCATCACAATTTCTCAAAGTTGAAGGTGAAGTCTTTAAAATGACTTTAATGTGATATAAAACAGAGGAAAGTAAGATTTCTATATTTGAGAGGATGGAAAAAGCATTTGAAGAATATGAAAACATTTTTTAACGATAAATCAATTAACAAAAACAGTTGGAGATTATTTTTCTGTCAACTGTTTAGCCGACTTATTGCATCAGCTCTAGAGAAATGTCCAAAAACGACATGAAAAATGAGAAAATGTCCATCTCTGTTTTTATAAACGTCTTGTTTTCTCAGTTCAAACCCAAAGACATTTTCCTAAATTGAATTAAAACAGAGAACAGTTGAGAGCAGAATTTTTACGATCGGCAACACAACCCTGAAGGTTTTCAAGGTGATATATATATATATATATACATATATAGATGTCTGTCTTGCGTCTTATCTGTCAGAGAGAAACCATTATTTATTTTATTATATTGTTATTATCATACATTTCACCTCCTTGTGTCTATCTGATCAAATGTTATATTTGGCTGCATGTACCTTTTAAAATTCTTAACAAATAATCTGAGGGGAACTTCTTGTTTATTTTTAACTTGTGTCATTTTGTAAAGCACTTTGAGCTGTAAGTGATGTATGAAAAGTGCTATTTAAGCGTCTTGGAGCACCAGAAAAAGCGCTATAAACATTAAATGTATTATTTTGATTATCTGAATCTCTCCGGGGGGTACCTGCGACGTGGATGGGCGTCCACATGAGTTGTGTGTCGTTGAGCAGACAGGACGCTCCCTGAGCCAGCAGCACCTCCACGCAGCGCGGGAACCCTTTCTGCGCCGCCAGGTAGAGGACAGAGCGCCCGGCGGCGTCCTGCATGTCCACGTACGCTGCCGTCTCCGTGAGGACACGCAGCGCCTGCCAGTGACCCTTATCAGCCTGAAGGGGGAGGGGAGAAGGTTGTTAAAGGTCTCCTGTTATACTGTTCTTCATCAATATATCACAGCTCTCAGATATATACAGAGCCTGTCTCTGATTGGCTGAAACACCAAACAGATCATTGCAGCATTACCCATAATCCCCTCTGTTTCAGCCCTGTTTCCAAAGTGCTGATTCTCTGTCTGTTACTTTAGATGAAAATAAGGAGCCCCTCCCCACGCCCCTCTGAGAGACATTTGGTTACAAAGAACTCAATGATGCTCTAGGAGGAGATTCAGGTGATAAGGGGGGGGGGTTACCTTGGTTGCTGATTGGCTAATGGTTACCTAAGACAACACATCGTTATGACATCATAAAGTGGCCAACATCTATACCTGGCTGCTGCATCTTTAGAACTGTTACAGGATGTGTATTTTGTAAATTGTGTATTGTGTAATATTTGTTCATGCATGCTTCTTAGTTGACATTAAGCTGTCTTTGGCTCTTTTCTGCTGCAGTGTAAGAGCAATATTTTAGAGAGTACTTGTCCATGGACAAGTGAGTTTGGCAATTTACTTGTCCGAATACATTTTTCACATGCCTGTTTTTTTTTTCTAAAATGATTTGACATACCCCTTTTCAGGCCCATCGGTACATAAATGGTAGGGTCTCCTTTCAAACCCTTAATCCACTATTTTCTGACTCAATGTTTTTCCTTGTTAGCTGAGCACACCATTTCACCATCAACATTTTTAAATTGTATTTAAAGAAAAGGCCCTAACAAAGCAGCAGGGCTCTATTTCAGTATTAACTAGAAGAAAGAAAGACAGCAACAGCTGACATCAGACCTTTGCTGAGCCTAAAGATAATCATAAATAAATAACATAGTGAAAATAAATATATTGCAATGCTCAAAACAGCAGCATCCAACAGTAGGGATGGGTACCGCGCCCCGGCATTAAACGGGCCCCGGGCTGAATTATTAAAGACCGTGGTTCCGTTAAGCTCCGACGTTATCTGTCTTTTCATCGGTGCTGGAGACATGGAAAAAATATGTCATATGTATTATTGCTACACAAACATTATATTGCAGTTTTAGTTTCGCCAACTCCGTTTCTAACACGCAAAAGAGACTGCAACATGCGTCTTTTTAGTATTTTCGATCTTTCCAATCCAGACGAGAGATCTCTCCCCCGCCTGCTTGCGAGGGGGCAGGGCAGTTTACACACACGCAGCTGCTACATGCAGCAACACACACACGGAGGAGGTGGCGGAGAGAACGCGCTCCGAGGTGGTTAAACTTTACCCGTCTCGATCCTCGTTGCCAAAAGCACAATAAGAGTTTAGCATGTGAGGGCGGGAACACGAGCACTTTGTCTAAACATTTATCAAAAGTGCTCCACATTCAGACGGAGGAATGCACCGGGTTCCACTGTCTTTCTAGCAGCTCTGTAGCCCCATCCACGAGTAACGTTTCCACGTCAGGTGTTATGTATGCTAGCAGCAACACACAGAGTTAACCACATTATACAAACATGGGTTAATGATTAGAGGAAACTGAGGTATTTAGTTTGTTAAAGTTTCAGCTATTCTGTTTACAGTTCTGTCATCAGATTATTTAATATGATTTGTTAAAGCATTGTCGTTTCTTTTGATGTGAAATATTATTTATTTTATTTAAATAAAAAGCAATGTTAGTTTTGTTCACAATTTGTTTAGTTAGTTTACCTTTTTTTGTTCTCCAAAAGAACCGATAAGAGTACCGTTAAAGGACCGGACCGATGAGCGGTATCGATAAAACCTTAACGATACCCATCCCTATCCAACCGTCTCTAATCCTTGGACATCACATGTCACCGCATCCACGGAGCACCCGTAGTGCGGAGATCATCATATCATTCTGTCTTGTATTATTTATAAAATAAATGGCTCGTTCGCGGTAGGGGTGTTGAAAATAATAGTTTCTACGATGCATTGCGATGCGGACGTGGACGATTCGGTCTCGATGCAGTGACGGAAGATAATCGATTATAGCGTAGTAACGTTGCTTCCTGATTTTCCGGCCGTGGCTTTACTATAACGTTTTTTTCTTTCTGTCACTTTAATATCAAATCGGTCGGTGACGCAGAGATCAGGGAACAGACGTGACAGCGGCCACAGCAACACCAAACACGGAAGCAGTCTGCTTTATCCACCAACCCAACACCACCAGTCCAGAACCAACAGCAGAAGGACCCGCTCTGAATCACTCCGTGTCGCTGCGGCACAGGGATTTATGTTTTTCAAAAATAATCGCGTTACAATCATGTCAGGTTTTTGGTGGATTTAATTAAGTCTTGGATTGCAAAGTATGAATGTCCTCTAGCAATTTTCAGACTATATATACGTGTGTAAAGTTTGTGAAGGCAGGAGGAAAAAAAGCTTCCGCGATCACCGTCTCCTCTGTTCCTCTAAGCCCCGCCCCCTCCCTGAAAATAATGAGTGACAGGCTGATAGTGACCCGATAGAAACTTTATTATTCACTTAATCACTGAGATATAATGAAGCTAACTTAATCTCATACATTCATGGGATTCATGCAACAGTAAGACAGAGAATGTGAGTGTGCACCCACATGCAGTGTTTTAGTTGTTATATGCTGTTGTAAATACTCCTGTTGTCTGCTGTGTTCAGACTCAAGTCCTGTGTGTGATGCCACATTCAGGACATTCAGTGTCCTTTTTTAACAGAAGGCCGTTGCTAGAAGCTGCAGCTAGACTGCAGAAGCATTAGTTTTTTGTTTTTGAGGATGGAACAACTTCACACACAGATATAGGGAGGCTAGACCTATACAGTTCATTTATTTTGGTTTATAAATGAATGTCAAGACATTTATGTTATTGATTTCTGAAGCACTTTCTAAATAATGAAAAGAGAGTTCATATGTATTTACTGCATGTATGCATTGATGAAAAATAAGCCATGTGCAGAAAATTGAGGAACGCATTGGTATGAATCGTGATGCATCGGGATATCGAATTGAATCGAATCGTTGACAGGATAATCGTAATCTAATCGAATCGTGAGACCAGTGAAGATGCACAGTCCTAGTTCGCGGGCGCGAGCCGGCTCCCGTCGTTCACTTCAAAGAGCCGGCTCTTTGAAGGAAACGTAAAGCGGTCGCAAACAACAATGACAGACACGGACAATTTGTGAATGAGTTCTGCCTTTTGTGCTGAATTTATAAATAATTTGTTAATAAATATGGCCGAAAAACGTCACTTGTCCGTCGGACACGTCAATGGAAAGATGTACTTGTCCGATATTGTAAATAACACGACGCGGACGATCGGACGTGTGCTTTTAACACTGTGCTGTAATAAAGGTATTCTCTTTTCAAAATATTTAATTAGTTTTGTTGTTCAATAGTGCTGTAGCGACGCGTCGACTTCAAAATATCGTCGACGACATATTTCCGCGTCGACGCGTCGCTACACACACGTGGGTCACCCAAAGCAAAAAGCAGTTCGCAATCGCACTTCAAACACAATGGAGACTGAAACGGCTACCACCTCCTCCTCACAGGATTGCGCACGAAGCCCCCAAACGAAAACATCTCGCCCTAGGTCTTCAAAAGCATGGGAATATTTTAAAGTTAGTCCAAAACGCAAAGATATTTATATATTTATATCTCACTGAGACTGCTGCATAGCCTAGCAGAAGCAGCAGCTAGCTGTGGTGGCTACCATTAGCAGCTAGCATTTGCTCTCCGATTTTTACATAAAAATGGAATTATGGATTATAAATTCAATCAGTTTTTTATACATAGACGTTAAAAACCTATGGATTAACCGATTCAGCCGCGTTTTTTCTCATTTTAATGCCATTGAACACGTCTTTTGATCAGATTGACAGCTACGGTGGTGAGACGATCTCCCTAGAAGCTCTGTGAAGGTACGTGTTGTGATGACTGTATTTGCTTCCCCTGTCGCGAGTCCGGATCACTCAGTGATGATACTATATACCTACATAATCTGTGGAGTCTCAGCTTTAATCGGATATATTGTATGTGCAGCTACGATAAGTAATAAGGGTACTTTTATCTTGAGTTCTGTGCCAATGTCCGTTAGCATTTTTCGCTCAGGGGTCATTTAGATGCTTCTTATGAGACTTGTGTTTTGTTTTGGTAAACATGGTTTGTATCGTCAGTTAGCTGAGATTATTTCCGTTAATCTGGTATAACACATTAATAGGTTCTTAAATATTAAGATCCCCTGAGACACAGTATCGTGAAAAAAATCTTTTTTACATTACGTTTTTTTTTACATTACGTTTTATGAATTGAACAACAGAAAAATAATCATTAGATTAGTCGACTAATCGATCAAATAATCGCCCGATTAATCGTTTTCAAAATAATCGTTTCCCCCCAGCACTATTGTTCAACACAGACTTCCCACAGATGGGCCTAGACAGCATCACAATGCAGTGAGTTGTGCAAACATGTAGCATTACATTAAAAAAGTAAAGACATTTTATAGAAAATAAAAACACCAGCAGCAGCAAAGTCTTGTGAACAAATAATTATGCCGGAGATAGTATTTCTGTGTTGGACCCTGAAGGCAGCATCTGACAAATGAGAAAGACTTACAGCGAGATGCAGAGGACTGACTGGAATACTGCTCTCTATGTCTCCGAGTGCGTTGAAGGACATCTCCAGGAGCTGAAACACAACACCATTATTAGTCATAAGTTACCCCATTCTTACCAATAGCCATTATGTGAGTTAGTGTTTATATCATGACATTAAAACTCACCAGCTCCAGGTTCTGCTTGTTCCCGTGATACGCTGCGTAGTGAACGGCGCTGTAACCCTTAGAGTTCACCATGGACGGATCCGCCCCGTTATCCAGGAGGTGCTCCAAGCAGCTGAAGAAGAAATAAAGAGCGAGGATTAAGATAAGAGGTAAACAACTAAACAAAACAAGGCATTGCACATGAGTAGAAATTAAAGAGTGTAGAAATAAACAATACTAGAATTAAAGCAGTATTAAAAAGTAGAAAATATACAGTAGGCCGTGAAGATAAATAATCTATAAACTCTGACAATAAAACACTATTGATTAAGACTGGAAGCTTTCACAGCAGGGGGTCTTCGGGCACAGCTTTAACCTTGGTGTCAGTTTACGGGATTTGATCACATTAGTCGTTAGGGGGTGAAATAGAAAGGAAGTGGATTTTAACTTCTAATTTAGACCCAGTACTTTTTTCGCAGGACTCTCAAGTTGCTGTTATAAAATCCCTCCTGCCCTCTAGCGGCTCTCTCTGGTTTTATGTTAACAGTTTTCCCAATAAATGATTAAATAAGTAATTGTCATAAGTCAGCGGTTCCCAACACGTGGGCCACGGCCCCCTAGTGGTCCGCGAAGGCATTACAAGTGGTACGCCAAATAATTAAAAATGTTTTGAAAGCCACCCCTTGATTTGTTGTGGCAATACCTTTTTCCAAAAATAAATTGTATTTGTAATCTACTCTTCAAACACCTTAAATTCAGATTCCTCCTTGATTGACTTTTAGATATATGTATTTTAGCCAGAAGAATAGTTGTATTTATTAACTGTGTGCGGTCTTCATCTAAAAGCCCAAATAACATATTAAAGGGTGTAAATGTAAATTCAATATTTGCAGCTAAATAATTTGCAAAACATTATGATTTGTGTGGAAACATTTTTATTATTAAGATTTATTTTTATTTTAACCTCTTTTCCTTTCTCTTTCTCGATCCTCCTTAGCAACGGTCATTACAGTCCTTAGCAACGGTCATTACAGTCCTTGACAGCGTTCATTACAGTCCTTGACAACGGTCATTACAGTCCTTAGCAACGGTCATTACAGTCCTTAGCAACGGTCATTACAGTCCTTAGCAACGGTCATTACAGTCCTTAGCAACGGTCATTACAGTCCTTAGCAACGGTCATTACAGTCCTTGACAACGGTCATTACAGTCCTTGACAGCGGTCATTACAGTCCTTAGCAACGGTCATTACAGTTCTTAGCAACGGTCATTACAGTCCTTAGCAACGGTCATTATAGTCCTTGACAGCGGTCATTACAGTCCTTAGCAACGGTCATTACAGTCCTTAGCAACGGTCATTACAGTCCTTAGCAACAGTCATTACAGTCCTTAGCAACGGTCATTACAGTCCTTGACAGCGGTCATTACAGTCCTTAGCAACGGTCATTACAGTCCTTAGCAACGGTCATTACAGTCCTTAGCAACAGTCATTACAGTCCTTAGCAACGGTCATTACAGTCCTTAGCAACAGTCATTACAGTCCTTAGCAACGGTCATTACAGTCCTTGACAGCGGTCATTACAGTCCTTAGCAACGGTCATTACAGTCCTTGACAGCGGTCATTACAGTCCTTAGCAACGGTCATTACAGTCCTTAGCAACGGTCATTACAGTCCTTAGCAACAGTCATTACAGTCCTTAGCAACGGTCATTACAGTCCTTAGCAACAGTCATTACAGTCCTTAGCAACGGTCATTACAGTCCTTGACAGCGGTCATTACAGTCCTTAGCAACGGTCATTACAGTCCTTGACAGCGGTCATTACAGGCCTTGACAGCGGTCTGTTCTACTGGATTAACAACGCGTCACATGTTCTGAATCGACCAATCAGAGCTTTATTTAGTCTCCGTATTGTTTAAGGTTGAATGTGGGGCGCAGACATTTGTTTTTGATTCTTAAGCGGGCCTTGAGTTGGAAAAGGTTAGTAACCGCTGCTATAAGTAAATAATTTAGATTTCACCCTATCGTCTAGTCGTGGCACATGTAAGCTTAGGTTTTTAAAGATGTATTTGTACAGGTTAATGACATATAGTGTCCGTCTGCTGCTTTAGTGGAGATGATGTTGTGACCCGAATTCGTGAGCATGCTGAAGCACAAGAAGAAAAACCATATAAACCAGAAACAAACTCACAAGTACGACTCCTTGGCTTCGTCCTCATCGTTCTGATGGTTTGCAGAAAAATGCCGATCAACTCTGAAAAGAAGAAGAAAAGCTTCGATTCAATAAACTTTCTCAAGGTCAGAGCAACGTGAAAAAATAGTAAAAGGCCCGAGTCGACATAACGCCTCAGAAAAGTGAGAGTAGATAGGCTTTTATATTTGTCTTGTCAAATATGACATAAAAGAATAAGATATATATTGTAGTAATAATGAAATAATCTATTTGTAAATGTATATTGTATGTAGACATGCATTTAGTTTTTGGGAGAAGGGGTGGGATTAAATAATTGCAAACTTATTCCCACTCCTTCTCGGATGTAAGTCAATAATATTTGGGTTTATCAATTTGACACTGCTTAAGTTTGAACAGTATCATAATTCTCTGTTTCATTTCATTATTATTTTCTGTATTATTGTTTTACACGTTCGGAATAAATCAAATAAGAATAACCAATGCTAATTGTTGGGAAAATACTGAATGTCCTCCTCCAGTATGAGAGTAACATGATAACAAAGGTATCCCAACTGTAGCTGTGAACATGACAGGATGTGTGATTACCTAGAAGAGCATCAGGACTGTTTGAGGCAGATAATAGCTATGTGATTAACATGATGATTCAGCCTCTATGGAGATAGACATCAAGCATGCTCATTTCTGACGTGGAGCTAATCTGAAGTAAACATTGAATACTGCTTTCTATTCCTCCATCTTGTGACTGTGTAACTCCCTCTCTTGGATATCAGCATGTGAAGGACACTGTTCAGGAACTAGTTGATGCTCTGTATGTGATGACTACTTCCATTCTGGAGAGGATCACAAACACATGGATCCTGAGACTGAAGCTCAAGCCGGGGACCAGGGATTATTAACAATTGTAAGTATTCGGAAAAAGTCCGAATTTTGAGAAAAAGTCCGTTTTTTGAGAAATTCTGATTTTTGAGAAAATGTCATATTTTTGAGAAAAAGTTTGAATTTTTTGATTTGTTTTAGATTTGGGGGAAAAGTCCGAATTTTAGAGAAAAAGTCAGATCTTTAACAAATTCTCTTTTTTTGTTTTGACTACTTCCATTCTGGAGAGGATCAGAAATACATGGATCCTGAGGTTGAAGCTCAAACCGGGGACCAGGGAGATTCTTCTAACACTAACGCTGGAGCTCATGGAGAAACTGAAGAGGTGTGTTACCTGCTGAAGGCCTGCGAGGCGGCGGAGTAGTGCAGGGGGGTGCAGCCCGTCTGGTCCGGCTCGTTCACCTCAGCTCCGGCGCTCACCAGCGTCACGGTGCACTGGTACCTCCCGTTAGCAGCCGCATAGTGCAACGGGGTCCTGAGTGGGACGGAAACACGTTACACACAAAAGAACACTAAAGTGTCACTATGTGTTTCTGGCTTAATTATGTGCAGCACAATGTGACGTTTCTTTGTTAAATATTCTGTTCTTAGAATGAATGCATTTTCACAGCTGGAAGGCAGAACTGTCACCGTGCCGTGATTATGTTCCTCTTCACTGCTTTAAAGAGTCCTCTCCTGTTGATGTTCAGGTGTATATCAGTATGTAGTGTCTCTACTTTAAAGAGTCCTCTCCTGCTGATGTTCAGGTGTATATCAGTATGTAGTGTCTCTACTTTAAAGAGTCCTCTCCTGCTGATGTTCAGGTGTATATCAGTATGTAGTGTCTCTACTTTAAAGAGTCCTCTCCTGCTGATGTTCAGGTGTATATCAGTATGTAGTGTCTCTACTTTAAAGAGTCCTCTCCTGCTGATGTTCAGGTGTATATCAGTATGTAGTGTCTCTACTTTAAAGAGTCCTCTCCTGCTGATGTTCAGGTGTATATCAGTATGTAGTGTCTCTACTTTAAAGAGTCCTCTCCTGCTGATGTTCAGGTGTATATCAGTATGTAGTGTCTCTACTTTAAAGAGTCCTCTCCTGTTGATGTTCAGGTGTATATCAGTATGTAGTGTCTCTACTTTAAAGAGTCCTCTCCTGCTGATGTTCAGGTGTATATCAGTATGTAACGTCTCTACTTTAAAGAGTCCTCTCCTGCTGATGTTCAGGTGTATATCAGTATGTAGTGTCTCTACTTTAAAGAGTCCTCTCCTGCTGATCTCCAGGTGTATATCAGTATGTAGTGTATCTACTTTAAAGAGTCCTCTCCTGCTGATGTTCAGGTGTATATCAGTATGTAGTGTCTCTACTTTAAAGAGTCCTCACCTGCTGATGTTCAGGTGTATATCAGTATGTAGTGTCTCTACTTTAAAGAGTCCTCTCCTGCTGATGTCCAGGTGTATATCAGTATGTAGTGTCTCTACTTTAAAGAGTCCTCTCCTGCTGATGTTCAGGTGTATATCAGTATGTAGTGTCTCTACTAAACTCACCTTCCCATTATGTCCCTCTTATTCAAGTCGGTCCCGCTGCTTAAGAGCAAGTTCAGACATTCAACATTTCTGTAAAGACAAAAGGAAATAAGGGTTACGGATGTGATACCACCACCACCACCACATTTAGGGTCTTTTATGATCCAGATCAGCTGGTGCGTCTCACCCTCCGGAGGCAGCAGCGTGTAGACAGGTCCTCCCAAAGTTATCGGGGGTGTTTATGTCAAACCCAGCGGAGAGAACGTGCTCCTTACTCATGGAGGAAACGATACTGTACAGCTGACCTGCAGGAGGAGGAGGAACAGCTAGCGTTAGCAGATACGTCTGTCCTGTCATTTAAATCAGGGGTGTCCATTTTGAATCGGCTCTCAGCTAATTCTGAAAGTATAATGAAATATGGCTCACAAATGAAACTTGCGCTTGTCATATATTGTACTTCTTAAATATATACGTACAAATATATTACACAGTATTGAAACAAAAAGAAATACAATTCGTCAATTCATGTTGGAAACAAATGTTCGCTGATAAAGACGAATGACTTATTTACATAAGCTTGAAATCAACCTTTCATATTTGCTCTTTTTATCAGCAATCTGAAGCTGCTAACAAGATAAAGCAAACCCTCTGGAGAGCTGGGATGTACGCTGTGAAGAATGTATCAAGAATACTTGACCTACATTTACTTATAACTGAACTTATGAGGCAGTGTACCTCGCCTCTAGGGAGTGGCCCAGCCCTTCTGATATCTTTCTGTATGTGGCCCTCAGTGAAAACATGTTTGGACACCTCTGCTTTAAAACATATAGTCGTATACTCCGATTGCCTTTTACTCTGTGAACTTGTATTTGTAGTCTTGTATGTGTTTAACAGAGACGTGTGTTAAGGATTTACATTTCAGGAAGGGTAAAAGGTGGATTCCTCTCATCAACACACAGAGAGACTGTGAGCAGAACTTCTCTCTCCTCTGAGGGTGAAGCTGCTCTGTTCCTGCATTTCAGATCCATGTCACTTGTTTATTGACTTTCTTTATTATATATAGCAAAAGACAAACTTCCTCCATGAATCATTTATCAGTTTCTCTGAAGAATTTCCTCCACAACGTCCAACTGTATATATATATAAACACATAGATGAGGATGACAAAGACCAACCTGAGGAGAGTAACTTGCGACAGCAGTCTGAAAACCCGTAGAGCACCGCTAAGTGCAAAGGGAACATTCCATGGATCCCACGTCTGGAACAAACACGGCAGATTAAAATGTTGTTACAGTAAAACCATTTAAACTCAACTGTCTTATAGCACGACGTACACGACAGTTAGTTTGGAGTAGATGCAGTTCGTAGAAAATAAAATACGTCCATAGCGGTTCATCGTTAGCTTCCTTCTGGATTACCCTAACCCTGTGTCAAACAAACACTTAGACCACTCCCATTAATGCATCTGTGTTTTAAAGGTCCCCTGTTTCTCATCAATATATCACAGGTCTCAGATATATACAGAGCCTGTCTCTGATTGGCTGAAACACCAAACAGATCATTGCAGCATTACCCATAATCCCCTCTGTTTCAGCCCTGTTTCCAAAGTGCTGATTCTCTGTCTGTTACTTTAGATGAAAATAAGGAGCCCCTCCCCACGCCCCTCTGAGAGATATTTGGTTACAAAGAACTCAATGGTGCTCTAGGAGGAGATTCAGGTGATAAGGGGGGGGGGGGGGAAAGAGAGAGAATATTTGTTCCTGAAACTTTCAGAGTCTCTTTCCACAGAGGGGACACATGTTGATGTAGAAGAGACATGAAGAAGAGGGGACACATGTTGATGTAGAAGAGACATGAAGAAGAGGGGACACATGTTGATATAGAAGAGACATGAAGAAGAGGGGACACATGTTGATGTAGAAGAGACATGAAGAAGAGGGGACACATGTTGATATAGAAGAGACACGAAGAAGAGGGGACACATGTTGATATAGAAGAGACATGAAGAAGAGGGGACACATGTTGATATAGAAGAGACATGAAGAAGAGGGGACACATGTTGATGAAGAAGAGACATGAAGAAGAGGAGACACATGTTGATGTAGAAGAGACATGGAGAAGAGGGGACACATGTTGATGTAGAAGAGACATGAAGAAGAGGGGACACATGTTGATGTAGAAGAGACATGAAGAAGAGGGGACACATGTTGATGTAGAAGAGACATGAAGAAGAGGGGACACATGTTGATGTAGAAGAGACATGAAGAAGAGGGGACACATGTTGATGTAGAAGAGACATGAAGAAGAGGAGACACATGTTGATGTAGAAGAGACATGAGAAGAGGGGACACATGTTGATGTAGAAGAGACATGAAGAAGAGGGGACACATGTTGATATAGAAGAGACATGAAGAAGAGGAGACACATGTTGATGTAGAAGAGACATGAAGAAGAGGAGACACATGTTGATGTAGAAGAGACATGAAGAAGAGGAGACACATGTTGATATAGAAGAGACATGAAGAAGAGGGGACACATGTTGATATAGAAGAGACGTGAAGAAGAGGGGACACATGTTGATATAGAAGAGACATGAAGAAGAGGGGACACATGTTGATGTAGAAGAGACGTGAAGAAGAGGGGACACATGTTGATGTAGAAGAGACATGAAGAAGAGGGGACACATGTTGATATGAAGAAGAGGGACACGATAAGAGACATGGAAGAAGAGGGGACACATGTTGATGTAGAAGAGACATGAAGAAGAGGGGACACATGTTGATGTAGAAGAGACATGAAGAAGAGGGGACACATGTTGATATAGAAGAGACATGAAGAAGAGGGGACACATGTTGATATAGAAGAGACATGAAGAAGAGGGGACACATGTTGATATAGAAGAGACATTAAGAAGAGCGGGACACATGTTGATATAGAAGAGACATGAAGAAGAGGGACACATGTTGATAGTAGAAGAGAGACATGAAGAAGAGGGGACACATGTTGATATAGAAGAGACATGAAGAAGAGGGGACACATGTGATATAGAAGAGACATGAAGAAGAGGGGACACATGTTGATGATAGAAGAGACATGAAGAAGAGGGGACACATGTTGATTAGAAGAGACATGAGAAGAGGGGACAACATGTTGATGTAGAAGAGACATGAAGAAGAGGGGACACATGTTGATGTAAGAAGAGACATGAAGAAGAGGGGACACATGTTGATGTAGAAGAGACATGAAGAAGAGGTGGACACATGTTGATGTAGAAGAGACATGAAGAAGAGGGGACACATGTTGATGTAGAAGAGACATGAAGAAGAGGGGACACATGTTGATGTAGAAGAGACATGAAGAAGAGGGGACACATGTGATGTAGAAGAGACATGAAGAAGAGGGGACACATGTTGATGTAGAAGAGACATGAAGAAGAGGGGGACACATGTTGATGTAGAAGAGACATGAAGAAGAGGGGACACATAGTTTATGTAGAAGAGACATGAGAAGAGGGGACACATGTGATGTAGAAGATACATGAAGAATAGGGGACACATTTGATGTAGAAGAGACATGAAGAAGAGGGGACACATGGTGATGTAGAAGAGACATGAAGAAGAGGGGACACATTGATGTAGGAGACATGTAAGAAGAGGAACCATGTGATTAGAAGAGACTGAAAGAGGGGACACATGTTGATGTAGAAGAGACATGAAGAAGAGGGGACACATGTTGATGTAGAAGAGACATGAAGAAGAGGGGACACATGTTGATGTAGAAGAGACATGAAGAAGAGGGCACACATGTTGATGTAGAAGAGACATGAAGAAGAGGGGACACATGTTGATGTAGAAGAGACATGAAGAAGAGGGGACACATGTTGATTAGAAGAGACATGAAGAAGAGGGGACACATGTTGATGTAGAAGAGACATGAAGAAGAGGGGACACATGTTGATGTAGAAGAGACATGAAGAAGAGGGGACACATGTTGATGTAGAAGAGACATGAAGAAGAGGGGACACATGTTGATGTAGAAGAGACATGAAGAAGAGGGGACACATGTTGATGTAGAAGAGACATGAAGAAGAGGGACACATGTTGATGTAGAAGAGACATGAAGAAGAGGGGACACATGTTGATGTAGAAGAGACATGAAGAAGAGGGGACACATGTTGATGTAGAAGAGACATGGAAGAAGAGGGGACACATGTTGATGTAGAAGGAGACATGAAGAAGAGGGGACACATGTTGATGTAGAAGAGACATGGAGAAGAGGGGACACATGTTTGATGTAGAAGAGACATGAAGAAGAGGGGACACACTGTGATGTAGAAGAGACATGAAGAAGAGGGGGACACATGTTGATGTAGAAGAGACATGAGTAGAAGATGGGACGAGGGGATAACATGTTGATGTAGAAGAGACATGGAGAAGAGGGGACACATGTTGAGTGTAGAATAGACATGGAAGAAGAGGGGGACACATGTTGATGTAGGAAGAGACATGAAGAAGAGGGGACACATGTTGATGTAGAAGAGACATGAAGAAGAGGGGACACATGGTTGATGTAGAAGAGACATGAAGAAGAGGGGACACATGTTGATGTAGAAGAGACATGAAGAAGAGGGGACACATGTTGATGTAGAAGAGACATGAAGAAGAGGGGACACATGGTGATGTAGAAGAGACATGAAGAAGAGGGGAACACATGGTGATGTAGAAGAGACATGAAGAAGAGGGGACACATGGTGATGTAGAAGAGACATGAAGAAGAGGGGACACATGTTTGATGTAGAAGAGACATGAAGAAGAGGGGACACATGTTGATGTAGAAGAGACATGAGAAGAGGGGACACATGTTGATGTAGAAGAGACATGAAGAAGAGGGGACAACATGTTGATGTAGAAGAGACATGAAGAAGAGGGGACACATGTTGATGTAGAAGAGACATGAAGAAGAGGGGGACACATGTTGATGTAGAAGAGACATGAAGAAGAGGGGACACATGTTGATGTAGAAGAGACATGGAGAAGAGGGGACACATGTTGATGAAGAAGAGACATGAAGAAGAGGGGACACATGTTGATGTAGAAGAGACATGGAGAAGAGGGGACACATGTTGATGTAGAAGAGACATGAAGAAGAGGGGACACATGTTGATGAAGAAGAGACATGTCTATTCAGTGCCATCAGTCTAGGTGTTCTCTACCTGGCCGTGTCTGCTCCGTTGGTCATCAGAGTGCTGATCAGAAGCTCATGGCCGTACTTAGCAGCAACGTGGAGAGGAGTGTTGCCGTACTTATCCACGCAGTCGATCTCCCCGCCTGACGGAGAGCAGAGAGCGTTCAGAGAGCAGCTAAAAGAGGCAGCAGCATCTCTTCTCGTCTCAGTGATGCTTACCGTTCTGGATGAGGATCTGGGAGCGTGTGAAGCGTCCGTGAATGGCCGCCATGTGCAGGGGGCTCTTCCCTTTTTTGCTCTGAAAGACAGAATATAAATCATGTTTCTTTTGTCTTTAAGATTTTTATTACATTTTTCATATTTTATACATAAATGCAGAACAAACATAACCAAAGGCATCCAACTTAAAGGCAGCACCCTTCAAGGTTTTGTTGATACCACCTTCCAAAAAGGCAGTACCATAGAGCAGGGGGTCAAACTCAATTTCATCACGGGCCACATTGGCATTATGGTTGCACTCAGAGGGCCGGTTGTAACTTTAAGACTATATAAAAATACATATATAAATATTTGATATATATAATATTATATCACATTATTGCCTCTGCATTGGATTATTATCCGATAGGGTAATAACTTCATAATTAACTACGTCTGAAAGCAGAAGTCTAGGGCACATAACTGCAAGTCTCTTCAGTGCACATGTCACAATTATTGTAAAAGAAAAATCAAAATCCAACAAAAAAAGCAACATTTTGAAGAAAAAATGTCAAATTCTAAGAAAAAAGTCAAATGAGAGATGCATTGTGGGACATGTAGTTTATGGGCAACGTGCTCCTGTAAATCGGCATGTAAACGTATAATAAACATATTATATTCTTTGTAAGTTCTTGTGGGGCCTCATGAAGTGAAGTCACGGGCCGGATTTGAGTTTGACACCCCTGCCATAGAGCACGGGTCGGCAACAGGCGGCCCACGGGACATTGTTGGCCCGCCAGCAATAATACTTGGCTAATCCCTAATGTCCGAGTGCAAGTGAATGCAGCACAAGACGCGAGCCTTGTAACCCCTCCCCCCCGGCGCAGGCGCGAGCATGGAAATATGATTGTCATTTGAACGGGACGGACGTCAGCCTTTGATTCCAAACGCACTAAAGCTTTGGATCTTAATACGTTTGTGAGCAGGGGCGGACTACTGGCCATCTGGAGAATCACAGACTCGCTGACGGCCGGCACCGGAGCAAGGTCCCCCCCCCCCGTTGCCTGCCATAGAGCATGAAGAAATGTGCCCACTTCTTTAATAATAATAATGGATTACATTTTTTAATTAGAGCGCTTTTACAGGTGCTCAAAGCGCTTTACAATTACATATTACACATACATGTCAATACTGTGGACATTACCCACAGGAGCAAATGCGGGTAGAGTGTCTTGCCCAAGGACACAACGGCCGGATGCAGTGGCGGCCGAGGCGGGTTTCGAACTGGAGTTCACCAACGCCCCTTGATCTGATGATCAACGCTCTAACCACTGCGCCAAAACCACCCCTGAAAAACCGCCCCTTTAGTTGCCATTAGTTGTCCTGAGTTAAGCCCATTTTAAACAATTTCAGGGCTGTAAAATAATATCTATGCACAATTTTATGATGGATAAACTTGCTTCTCGCATCCCTTGTAACCAAACCTACATCCTGCCATAGATCCTCCCTAATCTCACTACCAAGGTCTTTGTGCCATATCTTTCTCAGGCCAGAATATAAAATCATGTTATTTAATCTGGAGTTTATTCAGAGGACATTAGTATTCCCTGGTTAGTGAGATGTATTTGATTAAGCTTAAGAAAGCTGCTAAGCCCACAGTGAAGGACACTGACAACCTATAATCCTTCAATCAGCAGTGTGTCCGTGTTTCTATTTTGTTATAACTTGAGTGTCTAAGGTTTCGGATCCGTGACAGTTTCCTACCTGCTGGTTGACGTCGGCCCCGTTGTTGACCAGCAGCTCCAGACACAGCGCTCCGTTGGTGGAGACGGCGGCCAGGTGCAAGGGGGTGTACCCGCAGCGGTTGGGCTGGTTCACGTTGGCCCCGTGGTTCACCAGCTCGTTGGCCACCGCCTCCTGCCCCGTGTAGCACGCCACGTGAAGCGCCGTGTTCCCGAAGCCGTTCGGCTCGTCGATCTGAAGGAAACACAGAGACCAGATCAGACAGGGAGACCAGGTCTTCTCTACTAACACAGAAACTGATGACACACAGATGATTGGAGCCTTGTCTTTCATCCTTTCTTTATAACTAATGCTGTTGATGTGTTGTGATTTTAAAAAGGTGTCTATTATCATGTTGCCGGGGACAACAGCTGGAAATTAGCAATGTTGGCTGAAGCTTTCCCCATTTACTGTTTTTTGTAGTTGACGACACTATAAACAAATAAACTAAACTACCCTCTTGTTTACGTCCTAAGGTCACCTGATTTGTATTTGCAGGAAAGTGACGTCATAAAGGGAAAACTCTGGTTATGGTTTTACCAGCTATTTTCTGACATAAAATATGAGTAAAATGAGCTCCTCGTCTAAAAGTCAGCCAGTTTTGTCGGTTACATTTCCAAAACAAGCTCGGTGGCTACGACATAAAACCTGTCAGTAAATACCCCACTGGTGAATTTAAAAACGGCGGTAGCTAACAAGTGAGACGACTAAACGTCATCACAAAAATCACAAACTGGTGTTAATGTGTTTGCGGAGGGAACCAGGGAGAAGCTGCCTTCAGGACCCACTACAAAAATACGGCCGCTCTATATCGCCGCCTATGGCAGATTATCTTAATCTGTGGATAAACTGCAGATCATCCAGAGCTCTGCTAGTCCCCCCCCCTCTTCCTGCAGACCCTCCTCTCACTTCCTGCCATTATTTAAAGTCCCTCTCCGTCTCGAACAAGCCCCGAGAAAGTGCTCTGGACTCTGAGGAAAATATTCCTAGTGGCCAAACTGCGGTACTACAACATCCGTATCAGTCCGTGACGTCACTGGGCCCAGAGATGTCTGTAAATCAGCGGATAATTTTTATAACTAAATAAACTACCCAGTATGAACTATTTTATAGCCCTTATTATAATTATTCGGTCTTTAAAGTTGTAAAATGCACTAAAAGCCGAATCTAGATTTATTTTCTCTCTCCATTCGAGAGGGAGATCAGGGGCGGGGCTTAATGACAAGAGGCGGGGCTTAAGGGACAACTAAACTGCGCTGTATGAGCTACATACGGGTACTTCTGCTCTGACAGCAAGGCATGAACTAAGGTGGGAAGTAGTGGAGCACAAATACTTCCTTACTGTACTTAAGTACATGTTTCTGGTATCAGTACTTTACTCCACTACTTTCTACTTCTTACATGTTGAACTCAAATACCTGTACTTTCTACTTCTTACATGTTGAACTCAAATACCTGTACTTTCTAATTCTTACATGTTGAACTCAAATACTTGTACTTTCTACTTCTTACATGTTGAACTCAAATACTTGTACTTCTACTTCTTACATGTTGAACTCAAATACCTGTACTTTCTACTTCTTACATGTTGAACTCAAATACCTGTACTTTCTACTTCTTACATGTTGAACTCAAATACCTGTACTTTCTACTTCTTACATCTTGAACACAAATACCTGTACTTTCTACTTCTTACATGTTGAACCCAAATACCTGTACTTTCTACTTCTTACATGTTGAACTCAAATACCTGTACTTTCTAATTCTTACATGTTGAACTCAAATACTTGTACTTTCTACTTCTTACATGTTGAACTCAAATACTTGTACTTTCTACTTCTTACATGTTGAACTCAAATACCTGTACTTTCTACTTCTTACATGTTGAACCCAAATACCTGTACTTTCTACTTCTTACATGTTGAACTCAAATACCTGTACTTTCTACTTCTTACATGTTGAACTCAAATACTTGTACTTTCTACTTCTTACATGTTGAACTCAAATACCTGTACTTTCTACTTCTTACATGTTGAACTCAAATACCTGTACTTTCTACTTCTTACATGTTGAAACTCAAATACCTGTACTTTCTACTTCTTACATGTTGAAACTCAAATACCTGTACTTTCTACTTCTTACATGTTGAACTCAAATACCTGTACTTTACTCTCACATGTTGAACACAAATACTTGTACTTTCTACTTCTTACATGTTGAACCAAATACCTGTACTTTCTACTTCTTACATGTTGAACTCAAATACCTGTACTTTCTACTTCTTACATGTTGAACTCAAATACTTGTACTTTCTACTTCTTACATGTTGAACTCAAATACCTGTACTTTCTACTTCTCACATGTTGAACTCAAATACCTGTACTTTCTACTTCTCACATGTTGAACTCAAATACTTGTACTTTCTACTTCTTACATGTTGAACTCAAATACCTGTACTTTCTACTTCTTACATGTTGAACTCAAATACCTGTACTTTCTACTTCTTACATGTTGAACTCAAATACCTGTACTTTCTACTTCTTACATGTTGAACTCAAATACCTGTACTTTCTACTTCTCACATGTTGAACTCAAATACCTGTACTTTCTACTTCTTACATGTTGAACTCAAATACTTGTACTTTCTACTTCTCTCATTTTCCAAACAGCTGGTTCCTTTAGTCTGAATGTGTGTTTGATGCGTGATCATTATTCTTTAGAGTCATTGCGTGCCTATTGATTTGAACACGATCCGTGTATCCATCATTTCCTGGTCTTCTCTAAAGAAGAGGGACCAATGGAAACGTTGTCATGTTGCCGTTGTTCAGCATGGAAACATTCATTAGCTAACAATGACATTATTGTTCTATTAATATAAAGGGAGGTCAGGTACTCTTTAAAACAGCTGCTAGTTATGGGTACTTTTTACTGAAGTACATTTCAAAGCCTCTTTACTTTGACTTGAGTAAAGAAGTTTAGTCAGTACTTCTACTTTTACCAGAGTACTTTTAAACACCAATATGTGTACTTCTATTTGAGTAAAGGATGTGGGTACTTTTGCCATCTCTAGTAATCTCTGACGTTTTGCTCTCTAAAATCTCAGGCCATTTTGTCCTCATGCACCAATGAGCAGCTCTCATAGGAATGAACAAGCCATGGTGTGAATACCCGATATCATTTCACTCAAAGTTCCTGCTCTCCCTGTGTCTCTCTGAGTTTCGTCTCCATTGCTTCAGCAGAAGTTTCCATCACAGTATCCAGTTCTTATTACCTCGCCCACCTGCTCCACCACCACACTCCTTCCTGCTGCCTTCGCTCCTCTGACGCTCACTTCCTGTCTCCACCTCACGGGGCCGAGCGACGGGCCCGGGGGGGCGGAGCCTCCTCCTCCACCCCCCTCTGCAGCTCTCTCCCCAAACACATCCGACACCGCACCAATCTGTCCATGTTCAAATCAAAACTGTCCTATCAGAAAAACCGCCTCTAGTGTGAGGGCCGGGCCACATGGAGCATATTCAATATCACTTGATTTAGAGACGATATGAAAGGGTTAATCATTGAAAAATATTACGTAATCATCAGGTATGAGCCTAGAAGGACTTAGTGGGTAAAGACAAATAGTTTACTGAAATGCAGACTTTAAAACACAACAAAATAGTGAGATATTAAGAGACACAAAATCCTAAACACAGTTATTTATTCTATTTGTAATTATCCTATGAAAATGGAGCAACTGTAATGCAATAACAAAACTGTTAAGTCAATATTTGTTGGTATATATCAAGTAATCTGATTCCTATTCACCGCCTCTAGTGTGAGGGCCGGGACACATGGAGCATATTCAATATCACTTGAGTTAGAGACATTTAAGGGTTAATCATTGAAAAATATGATGTAATCAAATGCCTTACGAGGCCACAGAGAGTGAAATAAAATCCCTCAGGCTGCTGGTTTATGAAACAGATAATATAGCTAGTTTTAAACAGTATTTCATAGTGAGTGTCTCACCTCTGTGCCCATCCTAAGCAGGTACTTCACGATGTCCAGGTGTCCGCTGGCAGCAGCAGCGTGCAGAGGAGTGTAGCCCTGCTTATCCTTACAGCTCTTATCTGCAGAGCGAGACACCAGCAGCTTCACCACCTCCGAATGCCCTGCAACACACACACAATAAAATTACATTTATTTAAATCAACTTTTTTAAAATGTTTATTCATGTATTATTATTTTTATATATATTTTAATTAATTATCTTTTTTTAAATTTTATATATATATTTTTTTTTTCATACACTTTTGACAAAAGTCTGCAAAATCCACTTCTTCCATTGGCCAATAACCACCACCTGAATCTCCTCCTAGAGCACCATTGTGTTTTTTAACCAATCATCTCTCAGAGGGGCGTGGCCAGCAGCAGCTCATTAGCATTTAAAGCTACAGACACAGAATCAGCACTTTGGAAACAGGGCTGAAACAGAGGGGATTATGGGTAATGCTGCAATGATCTGTTTGGTGTTTCAGCCAATCAGAGACAGGCTCTGTATATATATCTGAGAGCTGTACTATAGTGATGAGAAACCGTATAATAGGGGACCTTTAAAGCAATAAGTCCACAACCAGAGAGTGTTTACGAGCCAACAGTCGGTCTCGTTGTTTCTCGCTTCATTACGTCAGGACTTGGCCGTGTTGTCGCCCCTCTTATGAGTCAGACTCGTCTCAAACAAAAGGAGCTTTTTTCAGATTTTTCACAATAAAATGTGTTTTTCTGTTTAGTTTTGGCAGTAAGAGAGACTGTCTCACCCAAGTAAGCAGCACAATGGATGGGCTGTCTCTCCTTCTTATCGATGGCGCTCAGGTTGGCCCCTTTGTTCAGCAGCAGCTTCACCATCTGTGGGACGGACAATACACATTTAAATAGTAAGGTCTCATTTTAAGGACATACTGATTAAATAAGGTTGATATGTGCTAGTGCTGTAGCGACGCGTCGACTTCAAAATATCGTCGACGACATATTTCCGCGTCGACGCGTCGCTACACACACGTGGGTCACCCAAAGCAACAAGCAGTTCGCAATCGCACTTCAAACACAATGGAGACTGAAACGGCTACCACCTCCTCCTCACAGGATTGCGCACGAAGCCCCCAAACGAAAACATCTAGCCCTAGGTCTTCAAAAGCATGGGAATATTTTAAAGTTAGTCCAAAACGCAAAGATATTTATATATGTATATCTCACTGAGACTGCTGCATAGCCTAGCAGAAGCAGCAGCTAGCTGTGGTGGCTACCATTAGCAGCTAACATTTGCTCACCGATTTTTACATAAAATGGAATTATGGATTATAAATTCAATCATTTTTTTATACATAGACGTTAAAAACCTATGGATTAACCGATTCAGCCGCGTTGTTTCTCATTGTGTTGCCATTGAACACGTCTTTTGATCAGATTGACAGCTACGGCGGTGAGACGATCTCCCTAGAAGCTCTGTGAAGGTACGTGTTGTGATGACTGTATTTGCTTCCCCTGTCGCGAGTCCGGATCACTCAGTGATGATACTATATACCTACATAATCTGTGGAGTCTCAGCTTTAATCGGATATATTGTATGTGCAGCTACGATAAGTAATAAGGGTACTTTTATCTTGAGTTCTGTGCCAATGTCCGTTAGCATTTTTCGCTCAGGGGTCATTTAGATGCTTCTTATGAGACTTGTGTTTTGTTTTGGTAAACATGGTTTGTATCGTCAGTTAGCTGAGATTATTTCCGTTAATCTGGTATAACACATTAATAGGTTCTTAAATATTAAGATCCCCTGAGACACAGTATCGTGAAACAAATCTTTTTTACATTACGTTTTTTTTACATTACGTTTTTTATGAATTGAACAACAGAAAAATAATCGTTAGATTAGTCGACTAATCGATCAAATAATCGCCCGATTAATCGTTTTCAAAATAATCGTTTCCCCCCCAGCACTAATATGTGCACATGTTGCACGTCTGTTCTGTGTGTTTGAGCTGATATTTGAGCACAGGGTCGGATAAAGACAAGGTGACACTAATAGTACTTGTATTTTATAATTAGTAGGATTACATTCAAGCCAAACAAACATTTAAAATGAATCCAGAAAGTCAAAAAGAGTTTTCTTTTCCAAAAAACAAAGAATTCAATAATAATAATAAAAATGTAAATGATTTGTAATGATTTCCCAAATGTTGTTAGGTCTATATTTATTAGAAAAGATCAATTTGAGTTGAAAAATATTGATGTTATTATTCCAAGGGCACATTTTACAGAGAAGTCAAGATGCCAGATTCTATTTTTAGAATAACATAAAAATAAAACTATTCATAGTGTAGTGATAAGATAATACTTAGTGTAATAATTAGTTAAAATAGTATTGGTTGTTGTATGTGAGTCTCCAGTTTCCCCTAGATCAGCGGCTCCCAACCTTTTCCAACTCAGGGCCCACTTAAGAATCAAAAACATTATCGCAGCCCGTATTGAACCATTAACAATACGGAGGCTAAATAAAGTTCTGATTGGTCGATTCAGAACATGTGACACGTTGTTAAATCCAGTAGAACAGACCGCTGTTAAGGACTGGAATGACCGTTGCTAAGGACTGGAATGACCGTTGCTAAGGACTGTAATGGCCGTTGCTAAGGACTGTAATGACCGTTGCTAAGGACTGTAATGACCGTTGCTAAGGACTGTAATGACCGTTGATAATGACTGTAATGACCGTTGATAATGACTGTAATGACCGTTGCTAAGGACTGTAAGGACCGTTGCTAAGGACTGTAATGGCCGTTGCTAAGGACTGTAAGGACCGTTGCTAAGGAAGATCGAGAAAGAGAAAGGAAAAGAGGTTAAACATTTAAAAAAAAATCTTAATAATGAAAATGTTTCCACACAAATCATAATGTTTTGCAAATTATTTGGCGGCAATTATTGAATTTACATTTACACCCTTTAATATGTTATTTGGGCTTTTAGATGAAGACCGCACACAGTTAATAAATACAACTATTCTTCTGGCTAAAATACATATTTTTAAAAGTCAATCAAGGAGTAATCTTAATTTAAGGTGTTTGAAGAGTAGATTCAAAACGAAAAGTCGGGATTAAAGGAACAGTAAATATGCCATGTTGTGTTTTTTGGTGGTCAACCTATTTTTGTTTGTGAAATGTTGAAGCGATCCTACTGACTGTATCTTTATTTATTCTGCTTTTGTCTGAGATGGGAATGTCATCTCCTATATGTCATTGTTATGACCATGTGTGTGTCTTTAGCCTGTACAAAACAAAACAAAATACAAATTAAATTATTTGGCGGGCCTACTTGCAATGCCTATGCGGACCACTAGGGGGCCACGGCCCACAGGTTGGGAACCGCTGCCCTAGACCTTATTGGGGACGTAACGGTCGTAAACAAAGAGTAATACCATGATTAAAAGCCTCAACAGAAGCCTTTGAGCTCCTCTCCTCATCTTAAACAAAGTCTGATAAGATAGAACTGTATTTATCCAGAAGGAAGAGTTAGGGCTGCTCAATTAATCGTATTTTAATCGCAATTATTTTTATTTATTCATTTAATTTAATTTTTTTAAAGGTTTTTCAGTTGAATTCTACTTAAAGTTCAGGGTAATCAACTGTTAAAAACATACTGTTTACATTATTTTTTCTTCAATAAATGGATGTTTTCAAAGTAAATGGATAAACGTTTTTAATAATCGTGATATCAATTATTGACCCACATAATTGAGATTATGATTTTTGGCATAATCGAGCAGCCCTAGTCAGAGTTACAACAATACAATAAACACAGCAGCACAATAATAATACAACTGTACACTAACAGTGCAGTGAAAAGAGCAGTTCAATACCTACAGGAAACAGAGGGTCTCATCATTGATGTGAAGGGGAGGTCTGGTCAGTGTTTGTTTGTTTTGAAAAGATGAGTGGGGATGAAGGTGAACTGGTCCAATTTTGTTGCCAATTAATTCCTTGGTGTTATGAAATCTTGAATGTAATTTTACCCTCACTCATCCTGTTAGATTGAAATAGTGTTTATGTGTTTCCTGACCTCCATGAACCCGCTCTGCGCGGCGTGGTGCAGCGGCGTCCTCCCGTATCTGTCGGCCATGTTGAGGTTGCTGAGCGTAGCGAGCAGCGCCTCAGCGCAGCGCGTCGAGCGGTTCGCGGCCGCCACGTGCAGCGGAGTCTGCCAGAACTTATCTCGCGCCGTCGCCTCGGCACCGCGACGCAGCAGCAGCCCAACGGCCCTCTGGGAAACAGGAAGAGAGCAGCAGGAGGTTAAAGGTCACCTATTATACAGTTTTTCATCAATATATCACCGGTCTCAGATATATCCAGAGCCTGTCTCTGATTGGCTGAAACACCAAACAGATCATTGCAGCATTACCCATAATCCCCACTGTTTCAGCCCTGTTCTAGGAGGAGATTCAGGTGATAAGGGGGGGGGGCGGGGTTACCTTGGTTGCTGATTGGCTAATGGTTACACAAGACAAAACATTGTTATGACATCACAAAGTGGCCAAAATCTGATCAGCTCATTTTCAGACAGGTTTTTATAGAAATGGATCAAAAAGAGAGAGAATCTTTGTTCCTGAAACTTTCAGAGTCTCTTTACACCAGAGGGGACACATGTTGATGTAGAAGAGACATGAAGAAGAGGGGACACATGTTGATGTAGAAGAGACATGAAGAAGAGGGGACACATGTTGATGTAGAAGAGACATGAAGAAGAGGGGACACATGTTGATGTAGAAGAGACATGAAGAAGAGGGGACACATGTTGACGTAGAAGAGACATGAAGCAGAGGGGACACATGTTGATGTAGAAGGAGACATGAAGAAGAGGGGACACATGTTGTGTAGAAGAGACATGAAGAAGAGGGGACACATGTTGATGTAGAAGAGACATGAAGAAGAGGGGACACATGTTGATGAAGAAGAGACATGAAGAAGAGGGGGACACATGTTGATAGTAGACAGAGACATGAAGAAGAGGGGGACACATGTTTGATGGTAGAAGAGGACATGAAGAAGAGGGGACTACATGTTGATGAAGAAGAGGACATGAAGAAGATGGGACACATGTTGATGTAGAAGAGACATTGAAGAAGAGCGGACACATGTTGATGTAGAAGAGACATGAAGAAGAGGGACACATGTTTGATGTAGAAGAGACATGAGAGAAGAGGGGGACACATGTTGATGAAGAAGAGACATGAAGAAGAGGGGGACACATTTTGATGTAGAAGAGACATGAAGAAGAGGGGACACATGTTGATGTAGAAGAGACATGAAGAAGAGGGGACACATGTTGATGTAGAAGAGACATGAAGAAGAGGGGACACGTGTTGATGTAGAAGAGACATGAAGAAGAGGGGACAACATGTTGATGTAGAAGAGACATGAAGAAGAGGGGACACATGTTGATGTAGAAGAGACATGAAGAAGAGGGGACACATGTTGATGTAGAAGAGACATGAAGAAGAGGGGACACGTGTTGATGTAGAAGAGACATGAAGAAGAGGTGACACATGTTGATGTAGAAGAGACATGAAGAAGAGGGGACACATGTTGATGTAGAAGAGACATGAAGAAGAGGGACACATGTTGATGTAGAAGAGACATGAAGAAGAGGGGACACATGTTGATGTAGAAGAGACATGAAGAGAGGGGACACATGTTGATGTAGAAGAGACATGGAGAAGAGAGGGACACATGTTGATGTATAAGAGACATGAAGAAGAGGGACACATGTTGATGTAGAAGAGACATGAAGAAGAGGGACACATGTTGATGTAGAAGAGACATGAAGAAGAGGAGACACATGTTGATGTAGAAGAGACATGAAGAAGAGGGGACACATGTTGATGTAGAAGAGACATGAAGAAGAGGGGACACATGTTGATGTAGAGGAGACATGAAGAAGAGGGGACACATGTTGATGTAGAAGAGACATGAAGAAGAGGGGACACATGTTGATGTAGAAGAGACATGAAGAAGAGGGGACACATGTTGTTGTTTGTCTTTTGTTATATTTAATAAAGTAATAAAGAAAGTCAATACACAAGAGAAAGGGATCTCAATGCAGGAACAGTCTCTCTGTATATTCATGAGAGGAAACAGCTGCTCATCATTAAACCAGAAAAAAAAAACCTCGTCCTTAACCATTTGCAAATCCACCTTTTACACTTCCTGAAATATCAACCCTTAACATACGTCTCTGTTAAACACATTCAAGACTAGGGGTCGCATTTTACAGATTATCGGTATCGGCCTTTTTTTAAATCAAATTGCCGATACAACTTTGGCTCTGATGGCGTCTCGCAGCGGAGAAACGGTGACGACTGGGACGGCTGCTAGTGGAGCCTCGCAGCAACTCTGCTTTCTGCACCACAATCTGGTGCTGCTGAACTGGGACTACTAAATGAGTGAGACTCAAACATCACAAGTTCAGAACAAGTTTTAGTCGTTTTTATTTTATACTTCATTTGCTCGGGGTCACAAAGAGGAAACCAGTTTTAAGATGTTGAAAAGTTCATTAAACATAAAAAGGCATTTCAAAGAAGTTATTCTACATTTTGACACCAAGATTTTCTGATTTTACTGCAAATGTATATCGGTTCCAAACATCGGTTATCGGTCTCCTTGATTACTAATAATCGGTATCGGCCTTGAAAAAGCCATATCGGTCGATCCATATACAAGACTACAAATACAAGTTAACAGAGTCAAAGTTAATCAGAGTATCTGACTATATGTTTGAAATGATTATTTGATCATTTGACACGACAGCAACATAACGACAGGAGAAAGAGTTACTTCTTACTTCATTCCTGGAAGCGGCCGCTCTGTGCAGCGGGGTCAACCAAACGTGGTCTTTAGCATTTACAGTGGCACCTGGAGACAGAGAGCAACGTTAACAAGGGGTCAGAGGTCAGATAGGACGCTATGGTATATATATTTAATTTTATTAATTTTTTATTAATTTATTATTATTTTTAATGTCATTTTATTTGTTTAACATTTTGTATTATTATAATTTTTTAGTAATTATCCTTTTAAAAATTATATTTATTCATTAGTTTGTCCGTATGTCTATTCTTTATATATATATATATCTTTCGACTTTTATATGTATGACTTCTTGTACTTTCGCTCACGTTTGGCTCTTTAGATACAGCTCAATTCAAATGGAAAAAACGTTTGAGAAAAGTGTGAAAATGTTTGTAAAACGAAAGTGAAATGATAATATGTATACATGACCCAAATATGTATACATGTTCATTTCATTCATTTCTTATTTTAAAAGCTACTTAATGTATATCATTGTAATTGTATCTTTAATTGTATTAATCTCTAACCTGTGTGAATCCGTGCTGTTTTTCATTCTCACCCTGTTGCTGTTAAACTACTTATCTAAAGAATCAGAATAATCACTAATATGAACATCTACGAGACATTTGACTTTGTTCTGTTCGTCTTCTTAGAGAAATAACAGGTTTTACATAAGCAACCAGAAAAGTCAATTCTGTAGACAATTATTTAATTTAATTGAAGCAATAGTCAGAAAATACTGTTTCCAGCTTTTCTAATGTGGAGGATTACTGCTTTATGATGTGTATGCGTGCTTCCTAATCAACACTAAGCTGTCTTTGGCTCTTTGCTGGCTGTAACTAATGTAAACGTCACCTCTGTGGGACCAGTAAAGATATTCTGATTCTGAATAAAGTAACACTTTATGACTGATACTACTAGGCAGTTAAACACGGAGGATTTGAAACATCATTTCTGAATGCAGCGCGCTCACCTGATT